GGAAGCCTGCTTCTCCCTCTCCCACTCCCCCTGCTTGTGTTCCCTCTCTCACTGTGTCTCTGTCAAATAAATAAAATCTTAAAAAAAAAAAAAAAGAACTCACAGCCAAGCAGAGGGGACAGACTTAGAAAAAGCCCGTTTGAATGTGGCGGGGACCTCAAAAGCGGTGAAGGGGGCCCAGCCTTGGTCTTGGGGTCTGGGAGTGCTCCCTAGGTGAGGAGGCATTTAAGTGGCTTACCCGAGGTCTGGTCTTTCCTGAGGCTGGGTCTTGGGAGTAAAGGGAGACGGGAGGGTCACAAAAGCATCCCCCGTGGAAGGTGTAGCCCAGGTAAAGGCCTGAGGTGAGGGGGCAGTTCATGCAAAGACATTCCATTTGGCTGGAGGGCAGGGTCAAGGAGGGAGCTGGACCGGAGAGATAACTGAAGGACTGTAACTGATGTTCAAATGCAACTTTCTGCCCAGCTCCTAAGACGGCAGACCCTGTATATCATGTCACAGAGTTTGGATGTTACCCTGGGGGCACTGGGGAGCCATGGAAGGCTTTAAGGCAGGAGAGCTTCTCTCAGGCTTGTGCGACAATTCACTGTCCACCCTGCTGACCAATCCCAGGTCTCTGCCAAACCTCAGAAGCCCGAGTTAGTCATTAGGATCTTGATTTTTTTTTTCAAAGATTTTATTTATTTATTTGTCAGAGAGAGACAGAGAGCGAGCACAAGCAGGGGGAGGGGCAGGCAGAGGCAGAGGGAGGAGCAGGCTCCCGGCTGAACAAGCAGCCCGATGCGGGACTCGATCCCAGGACCCTGGGATCATGACCTGAGCCGAAGGCAGACGCTTCACCGACTGAGCCATTCAGGCATCCCAGGATCTCGATTTTGAAATTAAGAAATCGAGGCTCACCGAGGGACCATGACTGGCGGAATCCCACTGCAGAAGCCCTCCTGTAGCCCTGCTCTCCAGTCTGCTGTCTCTGGTTCTGCCATCAGTGCTGTGTCTTCGGCTTCTCCCTCGCAAACCGGGCTCCTAGTTGCACCGGGAGGAGACCCCTTTGGCTGGAGGATCTGCCAAGCCAGCCACACTTCATGGACAGACTGTTCCCAGTAATGGGCTTCCCTGTCCCTCACCTGAGGGGTAGGAGCTTTGCAGGAGAGGGGTGGGACGGTTTGCAGGCGCCGTTGGATCCCTGAGCCTCTCTTTGCTCAGGCAGCAAGCAGCCTTTGGATGCCCCGACTATAACGTGTCTATCTTTCTTCCACAGATGAGTGGGGCTGACACGGCTGGGGATGATGATGAAACCTCTCGGAAGAGAAAGAGCAAAAACCTGTACGTTGGAAAGATCCCTGGTCCTCAACCTTGCAGTTAGGGAGGCTCCCCAACCCCCTCTTCTTCCTCTGTCCTCGGGCTTGTCTCTCCTCCAGGGGGACAGGTGGGGAGGAGGGGCTGTGGCCAGTCCTGCCCTAGACAGACACCAGTGAACAACAAGATCTTAAGACTTGCCAGTGGCCCCAGTGTGGGGTCGCTAGGGTCCTGAGCGTCCAGCATTGCCCTCAGCATTCATGCAGAGTGAGGCAACATGCTGTTTCAGTACTGGAAGCCCCAGGGAACCAAGCAGAGGCAACCAGCCGGGTTGTCCTGGCCCGGGCCCAGCCTCTAAGCCAAGCAGTGGCTGGGTGACCTTGACAAGTGCTTTGCTCCCTGAGAAAGGACACGGGATTCCCCCTTTCTCCTCTTGAGCTCTTGAAGGCTAGCAGTCTTTGGCATTGCCAGGAGGTGGCGCTGCTGGTCCAGGTAGCATATCCCATACTCCCCAGCCTTTCGGGCCAGGCTCTGGGGCCTTACACATCCGTTTGGAGGTTTGGAGGTGCCAGTTAAATGAACAGGGTGTGTGTGGGTTCTCCTTAGGCTCCTTGTACACCTGGGCCCAAGGACCTGGAGACTAGGGGCGGGATGGAGAGGAGGCGGTGGGGCATACGGTGGCCCCCAGAGGGAGTCCCCCTCCCCTCCAGCTTGTGTAGTGCCCACCATTATTTACCAGTTGGGCCTGGGCGGGGAGGACAGGGTCTTCCCAGATGCCTCCTATAGCCGTTTTCCTGGCCTCTACTTTGGCTAGCGTCCACTACTCTAGAAACTCTTTCTCCCCCAGCTCCTCGGGCCTCTCCAGGTTCCTGTGGCAACTGTAGGCTCCTCTCACTCTGCAGCCAGGAGCAATCCCGCCTTCTAGGGCAGGTAACAGGCATCAAAAATAGCCCTTTGGTCCAGGTATCACCAAAGCTGCTGGGGTGTCGCTCCCAGGGGTGCAGCAGTGGCAGGCCGTGGAGGGTGGGCATCTGGGGATGCTGGGGCTGTCCTGGGCCGGTCCTAACTCTAGCCTCCCTTCAGGGTGGGTGCTGCCTTTTGAATGTCTGAAGCTCACATTCTTAAAAGCTTCATCGAGGACTCTTAGAATCTGGGATAACAATAAAAATAACTAATCTTTATTGTGCCAGGCACTGTTCTGTGCGCATTCCATATATTATCTAATTTAATCTTTACCATTGTTTTTATTTTACGTTTCCTTTTTCTTCTTACGTACCCTATTTGACCAATGAGTAAACTGAAACAAAAAGAAGTTACTTGTCTCCGGTCCCACAGCAAGTGTGTGGCCGAGTGGGGATCGGATACCTGGTGTGCTGGCTCTAATATTATAAATATAAATACATATATATATATTATTTTTTTTTCTTCAGAGCCTGTTATATTGAAGCTCAGTGTAGAGCGTTCTGAAGGAGGTTCACAGCAGCCCTGCTGTGTAGCCTTTGAGCCCCTAGTGATGAGAGTCCATTCCCCAGAGGCCACCCATTCCATTTCTTCATGGCTCTGACTGAAGGAAAAGTGCTCCTTTAGCTTCCTCTTGTGGGTCCCTGTTTTGCCTTCTGGACCCACGTGGGAACACTCGGGGCCCGTCTGAGCTCTGCCATCCTGTCAGACAGACCACTATGTCCCAGGAAGTCAAATGCTGGCACCCTAGTCACCCCTGGGGTGGCATTCTGAGGGCCCCAGTCCTCACCCAGAAGACTGCCAATCCCTGGACTCCTTGGCCTTAGTTCCTTGGCTTGGACTTTCTAGAGCAGGGTCCCCATCCCTGGGCAGCTGCCGCAGACCCCAGGAGGCAGCCGATTTTGGGACTGGCCAAAGCTGCTGGCAAGAAAGGGGTTAAATGCCCCATGCTCACGTTTGCCCCCCTTGTCGCTGAACCCCCTACCCTGGGCACCTCCGGGATAGCTCCTGGCAGCCGGCCTCGGCCTCGGCCTCAGTCACAGTGGGCCGCCACTCCCTTCTCTCTCTCTCCTGAGCACTTTTGCCCCAGGCAATGTGCTAAAACTTTATGCGCATTTTCTCCTTGCTTCTCACAACAACCCCAGCAGATGGTAGGTACTGTTATCATCCCTGTTTGATGGATGGGAAAATTTGACGTTCTGAGAGGTGAGGTAACTTGACCAAGAGCACACAGTTGGCAACTGCTGGAGCTGGGATTTGAACCCAAGGTTGTGCGGTTGCAGAGCTTCACACTTAACCTCCACGGGGCACCGCCTCCCTCACCGACTCACCCAGGGTGTCCCGGGGGTCTTAATGCCGCTTGAAGCACCAGTAACTTCAGAAGTGTAAATACTACAAACTTAACAAACACCCATTTGAAAGTTGAATTATTTAAATTTCTTCTACACTTATTTAGCTTTGTGATTTTGCCAACGCATTTTTTAACTTTTGGCTTCAGTCAGCATTTTTTTTATCGTTGATCAGCAGAACAGAGACCAAAACTTAAAATTAAAAAAAAAATGTATCGTTCAAAAATCACAACACTCAATGTGCATTAAAAAATTACATAATTACAATTCCAAATGACATTTTGGGAAGTTTATAGGACTTGTACTCCTGAAGTTATTCGAGCTTGAAACCGTACTCAGACTTGTGGGACAACCTCTTGCACATTCATGGATGCTTGTATCCAAAGCCAGTGACTGAGGCCGAGGCCGGCTGCCAGGAGCTATCCCGGAGGTGCCCAGGGTAGGGGGTCCAGCGACAAGGGGGGCAAACGTGAGCATGGGGCATTTAACCCCTTTCTTGCCAGCAGCTTTGGCCAGTCCCAAAATCGGCTGCCTCCTGGGGGAGTGGCAAGGCTAAAAATGCTTCCTGGCTAAAAATAGCCAGGCCTGCCACCCTGGTGGGCAGAGCACTCCCCCCTCCCTCCCAGCAATTTGCTGCCTTGTTTTCTCCTTCCCCGCGCGCTGCCATGGCAACGGGGAGGCCGGTCACAAATAACTCGGTCGGGCCCCAGAGGCCGGCCCTTGCAGACACATGCCCCTTTCACGGGCTCCCTCTCGGGGTTGGCCAGGAGGGATTTTTTTTTTTTTTTCCGCTCCCTGTGCTGGTCCCTCCCATTTCCTGGCTCCTCCTGTCTGAGTCCCAGCCCGGCCTGTGCCTGGGAGCCCCAGTCATCCGGCTGGGATCCCGGCGAACGAACGCTTGGCTGCAGCCCGCGCCGCCCCGGGACGCAGGGAGGGGAAGAAGGAACCTGGGGGCTGCTCCCTGCAGACCGTCCCGGGCCCCAAGGTGGGGGGCCCTACAGAGATGCTCCGAGGCATGTACCTCACGCGCAACGGGAACCTACAGAGGCGGCACACGATGAAGGAGTAGGTGCCTCTGCCCCCCGGCGCGCACCCTTCCCACCCTGAGTGTGCAGGGGCCGAGCGCACCAGGCTGACTGACCCCCTTCTCCGCTTCTGCCCCCAGAGCCAAGGACATGAAGAACAAGCTGGGCATCTTCAGGCGGAGGAACGAGTCCCCCGGGGCCCAACCAGCGGGCAAGGCAGACAAAATGGTGAAGTCATTCAAGTAGGTCCTCTCTGCACCCTGGGGCCCCTCGGGCACTCGCTGATCCCCAGGGGAGCAGGGCTGGCGGTGGGGTCAAATGGAAAGGGGTTTTTTGGCTTGATCCAGCTCTGAGTTGGACGGAGGCTGTCTTTGAGGGAGCCTGGTAGCTGGCAAGCCCTCACGGGGGACAGACTCTCTGGGAAGGCCGGCCGGGCAGGGGCAGAGGCGATGGGGCCCAAAGAGAGGGGCTGGGCTCCCCAGCTGGGCTCGGCCGCTGCCCAGGCCAAGGGCAGCTAACAGAGACCCCCCCCCCACCCACTTCCCCGAACCTCGCGGTGCCTCACTCTGCCCCTTCCCTCGCCCCTCAGGCCCACCTCAGAGGAAGCCCTCAAGTGGGGCGAGTCCTTGGAGAAGCTGCTGCTTCACAAATGTAAGTGGGGGCCAGCTGGCCTGCTCCCCTCCCTGCGTGATCTCCCCACCTTCCCTTTCCTCCTCTCCCAGACCCAGAGAGTGTGTCTGCTCCCAGAGGGGTGGCCTTTCCCGCTTTCCTGGGTCCCGTCAGGTGTCCCTGCCGTTGGGAGAGGCCGAGGCCCTTGGGCTGGCCTTGGAGCCGGCTTCGGCCAGCCCCTCCCTGTCCGTGGGAGCTATAGCATTGCCTGCAAGGGGCCGCGGGGCCTGTGTGCTCACACCCAGATTCCCAGAATAGCAATAAACATTTCCACGCACCGAGGGCTTCCACTGGGCCACATGTGCTCCGCATCTCGTGGGCAGGATCCCCTCCGATCCTCACAGGGCTCCAGGAGGTAGACTCATGACCCCCATTTTACAGATGAGGGAAACTGAGGCACAGACGGCAGAGACGTGGCCAAGGCCCACAGAGAGGCAGTGGCAGGGGTGGGTCCACATCCCAGGGGCTCCTGGCTCTTTGAAGTGGTTATCTTACTAAGCTCCCAACATCTGCACCCTCAAAGGCCCCTGGAGGGGAGGCTGGGGGGTCCAGAAGGCAGAAGGGGCTGGTTCTGCCTCTCACCCCAGGGCCTGGGCTTCTCGTCACAGATGGCTTAGCAGTGTTCCAGGCCTTCCTTCGCACCGAGTTTAGTGAGGAGAACCTGGAATTCTGGCTGGCATGTGAGGACTTCAAGAAGGTCAAGTCACAGTCCAAGATGGCGGCCAAGGCCAAGAAGATCTTCGCTGAGTACATTGCAATCCAGGCGTGCAAGGAGGTAAGGCCTCAGGCTGGGCCCTCGGGTGCCCCAGCCCCATCCCCATCCCCAGTGGCCTCTCAGTGATCACAGGTACCTGGCAGCCTCAGCAAGGAGCTCAGGAAGGGGAGAGGCCAGAGTGACTCTTGGGGACCATGTGTCCAGGGTGGAGAGGAAGCAAGCTGGGGCCCTGGGAAGAACAGAATTCTGTCGGTACCAGAAATGGGCACTGTCGAGGCACTGTGTGCCGGGCATACGCCAAGCCCTTTATGGATGCACTCTTTTATTTGATCCTCATGACAACCTGTAAAATGGGTTTAATATTATCATCATTTGAGAAATGAGGAGACAGTCTCAGAGAGCCTAGCTCGGAGTCGCTAACATCTAGTGAGTGCTTACTGAGGGCCAGGCACTGTGTGCAGACTCGCAGTGGGTGATCTGTTGATTGACTCCGTATCTCTTTGCCATGGATGACCTTGTTTAGTCTTTGGCACTCTGAGGAGTGTACCATCCTTCCTTGCCTACAGATAAGACAAGGGGGCCTCAGAGCACTTAGGTGATCTGCTCAGGGTCACATTGCCTAGGTATGGCACTGCTGGAATTCCAACCAGGCAGTCTGACCTTAGAGGTGGTTATGTCCAGGCCCTATAAACTACCTGCCTTAGAGTGAGTGACCGAGCCAGGACTTGAATCGCTGCCCCGAGGGTCTCCACTCTGAGACTTAAGACATGGAACAGAGGGGCTTGGAGGTGAAGGGCTGGGGAGGTCCCATTCCTGGCCCCCCGTGCCCAGGGTCAGCCCCGTGCCAGTGGACCTGACCATACTGCCCTCTGCCCCCACAGGTCAACCTGGACTCCTACACACGGGAGCACACCAAGGACAACCTGCAGAGTGTCACCCGCGGCTGCTTCGATCTGGCACAGAAGCGCATCTTCGGGCTCATGGAAAAGGACTCCTATCCACGCTTCCTCCGCTCTGACCTCTACCTGGACCTCATTAACCAGAAGAAGATGAGTCCCCCGCTTTAGGGGCTGACAGGGTAGAGCTCCGTGTTCACACCAGGCGGGCTGGGCCCCCTTCCCACCTGCCTCTCTCCCTCTGCGACGGAGGGGGCAAGCAAGCCCCCGGAGCCTGCGTCTCCGGACAGACAGACGGACATTCGGATGAGAGGCCTGGACCAAGGGAGGCCCAGGCCACTGGAGGAGTAGAAGGACTGGCCCCGTTGGGTCCACACTGCCCCGGTACGAGGGGGCCCGAGGGCCCTGGCAGGTCAGGGGCCCTGGCTGAGCCAGATCCGGAGCTGCTGTTCCGTGCTGCGTGGGCTCAGCATTGACCAAGTTCCTGAAAGAACTGGCTGATGGGGCAGGGGGCCTAGCTGTGGGCTCCAGGGCTCTCCAGGGGGGCCGCTGGGACTCGCAGCCCAGACCCCGTGCCTTGAGTTTTATTTATTTAAACAGTAGTCGGATGCTTGGCACGTTGTCCTGTAATAGGAAATTTTTGCCTCATCGGTTTTCCTAATTTACCAGTGCAATATTTTAACCAACGCCTTGTGCAAAAGCCACCTCACCGAGAGGGTGGACACCACTTCCCAGTTTCAGGGGATTTGCTGGTCCCAGGCACCGTGGCAGGCAGCTGGGCCTTCCAGACTGATGAGGCCTGGAGGGGCAGGTGCTGCCGTGTGACCTCGCACAGGAATCCCGCACTCCCCAAGGGAGGTGTCCCTCAGGGGCTCTGGGAAAGCATGGCACCCTCAGACCACACAGCAGCCGAGTTCTGGAACAAATAAAAGGCCTGTGTTATTTCTTGTTCTTGCCCCTTTCTGTGTGTTTCTGGGTTTGAGCTTTCCCAAGGTGGACTGGGGCTGGGGGTGGGGGTCAATCCGGCGGCTTCTCCTCTCTTGCCATCACCCGCCTCCCATCCCAGAGCCACACACACGATCTTCCGGGCTCGTGGCTCCCTGACAGGCTGTTTCCCTGTGCTAGGCACTCTGCCGTGCTCATTCCATGTAATTACCTCTCCCCTTCTCCACCAGCCTGGGAGGTGGGGGGTTACGCCCGTTTCACAGATGGGGAGAGTGAAGCACAGACAGGGTGGGTGACTCGTCCAAGGTCATACGGCTGGCAAGTGACAGAGACAGGGTTCTGCCTAAGCCCTGCTGGCTACCAAGTCTGTGCTCTGGATTGCTGTCCCCTGCTTGCCACAGGACAGAGTTCTAGCTTGGCCATCAGCTGGCTACATTCCTCTGCCCACCACACCCTGAGATTCCAGTGGAACTTTCAGGTGGCACAGGGCTGGTTGGTGGAGGTGGACAAGGCTAGCCTCTCAGGCTGCAGATGGGCCGGCCCATGGATGCCGTTAGGACAGAGGTAAGAGCTGGGCAGGTGACAAGAAGTAGGGCTTACAGAGACCCCCTCTGTGTCCCAGAGGAAGGCTTCCCACTCCGTGCCTAACTGGAGACGCAAATTTAGGCAAGGCCTGGAGGCCCCAGACCACTTGCCTGGAGGAGGTAGAAGAGAGCCTGGAACCCAGGCCAAGCTGACGCCAGAGCTGGCCCCCGCTGCCCCCACATACAGCCTGCCAGGGTCTGGGGGGCGCTGCCTGGAGTGGGGCCTGGCCCAGCTGGGCTGACTTCCATGCAGCCGGAGGGAATTGGTGCAGGAGGGGCTGGGCCCCATCTCCCTGGATCTTGTTCCCTGCCTGGGGTCCTGGGTTCAGGTCTGCCCACCATGACTTGGAAACACAAAGGACACGGGGCTTTGTAGCCACTCTCCTCTGTGCCTCCCCTCGCTGTTTGCCCTGGAGGCCCAACCTAGGGCCAGGCATACAGTAGGTGCTCAGTACATGTTCCAGCCTTTTTTTCTAGCACTGGGAGTGTGAGCTTTTCCAGGAGTGGAGCTGGGTCTGGCACTGGACCCGGCCTGAGCCTTGTTGGGCCTTGAAATCAGTGAAGGACTTGCCTGCCCCGGAGCCCCCAGAGCCTCAATGAGGCTGGAAGGACAGCGAGGGGCAGAGATGTGCCCCTAATTCAGAGCAAGGCCACCTCACAGGTGTCATCCAGGCCTGAGATTTGGGGACCTGACAGCTTGGGAAAACAGGCCCAGAGGGGACCACAGTACCACTCCTGTTCCTTCCAAAATGGCTAGTGGCCGAGCTGACAGCGGAGCTCAGGACTTGAGTCCCAGCCCGGCCCGGCCTCTCTGTGGTGTCTTCCCCTTGGAGGAGACACTGTGGGCCTGAAGAGACTCACCTTCCCCTTTCTTCAGGGTCCAGGGATTTAGCCTAGGGCCAAGCCCTCCACCTTCCCACCCCCAAGTTGCCATGGAAACAGAAGTCCCGTAGAGCAAAGTCAGACAGATGGAATTCCCATTTCCGAAGGCCCCGCTGCCTGGTTTCCATTACTCACACGGGGTCTCTTGCTTGGCCCAGAGCAGCTGTGGTTGTGCTGAGCATCCGGAGAGTGGGCTGGAGAGGTGCCTGGGTCCTCCTGCCCTGGGCCCTGCCTGGGCTCCCTGGGGACCGTCACCTTTACAGTGTCCGGGCTGCTCCCCATTTATTTTATTTTATTTTTTTTTTAAGATTTTATTTATTTATTCGACAGAGAGAGACACAGCGAGAGAGGGAACACAAGCAGGGGGAGCGGGAGAGGGAGAAGCAGGCTTCCCGCGGAGCAGGGAGCGCGATGCGGGGGCTCGATCCCAGGACCCTGGGATCATGACCTGAGCCGAAGGCAGACGCTTAACGACTGAGCCACCCAGGCGCGCCCCCCCCACCGCCTTTTTTTTTAAACATGCGAGGAAGGAGCAGGCCCCTTGCTCTCTGTCTGGCAATCCCAGGCTGGTCAGTGTGGGATATGAGGGCCGTGAGGTCCTCATGTTCAGGTCCCTTCCCATTCCGCAGATGGGAAGACTGAGGCGGCGGGAGTGAAGCAGCACTGCATAGAGGCGAAAGGCCTGGGCCCTGGCTCCATTGCTTACTACTAGCTCTAAATCTCTGAAAACATCACGTCACCTCTCTTTGCCTCCGTTTTGTCAGCTGTAAATTGTGCATGCTGGCACCTTTCCCAGGGCTTTGGTGACTAAGTGAGGTGCTGCTGGCAGCTTAGTGCCATCATCACTCAGGGTCACGGGGAGCGGGAAAGCTCGTGCTCAAGTGGTCCAGGCCCCGGGCTCTCCCGTGATCAGAGTGGACAGGGAGCCTCCAGTCTCAGACCCCGGATCGCCGTCCTTCCAGGAACATTCAGCTAGAGGACAAAGCCAGCCTGTTCCGGGGAGTGTCAGAAACAGCCTGTCCTTGCACCACTGCCCAGTCAGCCTGGTTGGGAGCCGCTGGGGTCAGCTTGCAAATAGGCTGCGAAGGGTGGAAAGGGGAAAGGGCACGGTTGGATGCCAGTGGGAGGGGACTCAGCGTTGGCCTGCCTGTGACAGACTTCGTCCGACTCCTTTTGGGCCGGTCAGCTCCCTCACGCTCTTGGCCTCTTGGCCCAGCTTGGGGCAGATAGGGCCTCCGAGACGCCCCAGCCTGGAAGAGACCACCTGGTCTAAACTGCTGTCTCATGCTTGCGTCCCTTCTTGGGTTCCCGCTTGCATCTCTCCTGTGACAGGGAGCTCATTACCTCACAAGGCAGCTCAGAAGGGCCTGGGAGCATCTGGGGGTTCTAAAATTCTTTCCCTGTGAAGTCAGGATCCTGGGGTGGGGTGGGGTGAGAGGGGCAGGTCAGCAGTAACCTCTATGAGTCTCCCACCTGGATAGCCTCCTCCAGGCTCCCTGATTCTCTGGTTTCACTCCTCTCTGCTCCCCCCACCTTCACCAAACTCCTCTGCGCTCCCCACCCCTATGTCTCTGCCTTTCTCCTCTGCTCCCTTTGCCTACTGTCTCCTCCCTAGGTCCCTCTGCCATCCTACTCTAGAAAGTCTCCCCGATTCACCCCTCTGCTGCATCCTCTCCCTCAGTGCTCTCCAGCCCTCAGGCAACAGACCCTGGGCTGCAGACAAGTGCTCTTGTGCTCTCATTTTGCTCACCGTCGGCAACATCTGTGAAACATCTGGCTCTGCCTATCCTCTCCCTGGCAGGGCCAGGCAGGAGGAAAGGGGGTACCCTGGGTCCCTGCCGCCAGGGTGCCCCTTCCTTGGGTCGGAGGAGACAGTGGGGGTGAGGAAGAGCTTCGGGGCTGGTCCAGGCCTGCTCAGCACGGATGAGAGTGGGGCTTGGGGGAGGGCAGTGTCAGCTGCAGATAAAAAAAATCGTATCTCCGGCCACACGAGGCACACACCAAGGGCATCCCATGCCTTATCTCCATCAGTCCTCACGTCAGGCTCGGAGAGGTGCTGAGTATTGTTTTTCCTTTACCAGTGAGGAAGTTCACGTTCAGGGAAAGTGGAAAAGTATGCTGTAGCTGAGCAGAGACTGCGAGCCCAATCCCTAACGTCCAGGCAGACTCACCTCCAGCCGGTCAGAGGGAATTGGCGGAGAGCACAGGTTCTCCTGGCCTTCAGGACGAGCTTGTCTAAGGAAGGTCATGAGCTTCAGTGTGTGGGGATGTCTGGTCCTGGGCTGACTCTCAGTTCTCAGTAGAGCTTTTGATAAATTGCCTTACTTTTCCCAGCCTCGATCATGTCACCTATAAAATGGGAATAATAAGTCCACCTGACGGGTCTCACGTGGACTCAGTGAGATAAAGAACAGGTGTAAACCCTCAGCACAGGGCCAGCCACAGAGTGGGTGCCCCACGGAGGGGCAGACAGAGGGAGGTCTGGAGCTACCACTGAGCGTCCAAGAGGTGAGGTCAGGCCAAGCGAGCAGCTGCGCAGGAGGAAGCCGCCAGCACAGCGGCTCCATGGCCAGTTTCTAAGACAAGGTCACCAGTGATTCAAGGACAAGGGCGGGGCCCCAGGGTGGTGGGATTGGGCCCCAGGCCTCAGTGGGCTCCGCAGGGTCCCGCATGCTGTCTCAGGGACTACCGAATAGCATCCCTGCTGGCAGGAGGTGCCTTGCCCTCAGATCTGTCCCAAACCTGCGTGTGATCTTGTGTGAGGCCCCTCCCCTCTCTTGTTGATTTCTTCTGGAAAACAAGGAGAACCAAGCTTTCTGTCTGTCTGAGGACCTTCCGAGGGGGCACATGGTGCTTTGTGCGTTGTGAGGGGCTGGGATCCAGGCCAGGTGTATCTGCCTATGAATGTGTGTGTGTGTGTGTGTGTGCGTGCGTGTGTGTTGTTAGGACCGAAAACAGAGTTTTAGCTACCTCCCCAGACGACCGGAGGGGCCTCAGGACACTGCCGTCCGTGTCCTCTAGCCGGGCTGAGCCGAGGAAGGATGTGCTCGTTATTCACATACCCGTTCCCTCCAGGTAAAACCCGCACCTCCCCTACCTTTGCTACACACACAGCCCCCGAGCCCAGCCAGAGAACCTTCCAGCAGCCGAGCCAGTGTGCAAAGGCAAAGCTGACAGTCCCCGGACTTGCGGGAAGGAAACCCGCCCCCACCGTCTGCTTCTGCTGCCAATTTGTGGTAAGTCCCTTCCCTCACTGGGCCTCACTTGGCCCATCTGAAAAATGGGTGGGGGGCGTTCCAAGGTCTCTCGAGGAGCCGTCTGACTCTGACCTTAGGTTGCATTCATTTCTCCCTCTGAAGTGCTCTTGCAGCTTGCTCCCCGGAATCTGTCCGTATTGCAAGGCAGTGGAGAATGGGGACGAGGAGCATGGGCTTCCAGGCTCGGACGCTCACTCACTGTGTGACCGTGGACAAGTCACTTCATCTTTCCGAGCCACTGTGTCCTCATCGAGAAAGAGGGGGTAAAAATAGTTCCCACTAG